CTGGCACCTCGTAGCTCTCAAACGCAGAAGTCGCCCAAGGATACAGAGTGGCACCCATGCCAGCGTATTCCGAAACCAACCACCCAATGTATCTCCAACAGCTGCCATTCATTGTGTATTCGAGAGCAGAGGACTGACCCTGGTTGTGTGTTGATCGCCTAACCAGCCGGTTCAGGCAAATTTGGCGTTCTGCAACTAGTGTGCGCGCTAATTAGCACGACGGTTGTCCCCGCAACGCCTCGTCAGGTTCCCCGCGTCCTCCGACGCACCTTGGTGGTTCGACTGAGATGAATTTGCCAGCCGGACTGTAGCCGCTGGGACCAACGGGAGGGATTGAAGCGTCCCGTAGAGAATTGTAGTTCCAGCCACGCCAAACCCCTTCCTAGAAGCTAAGTCATCCAAGGCGGTTGCTGGTGTCGTGGTGTGACAGGCATGCCCTGACGTAGGATATGGAGCCCTCATTATGGGCGCTCTTAGAGCTTCGCAGAGTCAGAGTCAGCATGCGACGGAATTGCATACACGTACAGTTCAACCCACCATGCCGGCACACTCAAAATGTACGCTCCCATGCCCAGGCCCCGGCCGCCTCGGCGGATGGCGAGGCTCGGGAATTACGGTTCATATGTACTCGAGAATTGGCGGGTCTGGCCGATGAGATGACGGGACATGGCCGGGCTAGGCGCCCGTTGCCGAGCGCCGCGCAAATCTCGATTCACATGTTCCCAGAGAACCGTGCAACCCCGAGGAGATAGGTCACGCACTCCGGCGGGGGCGTTTGTAGACAGCCACGTTAGCCATGTGGCGTGAACTGTGGCAGCTGGGATCACATTGACGCTCCACGCGCAACACGCGGCAGGCCAATGACAGCGTCAAGCTGCGTCACCTTGACCATGGGACTGGAACCAACAGATTACAGACCCATGTCCATGGTTACAGGCTCGGTGTGAAATGGCGTCCATGGCCTCAACTCGGGGGCGTGCCGCGAACGACCGCCCTCAGCCTCCTCCTGTGTTGGACAATTGGTGTTCATCGCAGTCCAGCTCGGTTCTAACAGAATGCCGAGTGCTTCATTCTCAGTGTCGCAAAATTACACACAAGGATCGTGACTACATGCTTCTCGTTCCCTTGGGAAGCCACAAAACCGCTGGCCGTTCATTCTGGCGCGTCGCTTCCCAAATTTTCTAGATATACGTGCATGATTGACACTTGCTTGACAAGTGCAGCCGACGTTGCGTGAACCAGAGCGTTACAGAGTAACCCCTGACGCTTCCGCAAACTTAAGAGACCCTCTTCCGTCAGAAGTCAGTGGCGTTCCCCGCCCCGGCCAGCGTTTGTATGAGAAGCAGCTACTATCCCATCTTTGGCAAGCTTCTCCATTCCTGGAGTCCGGCCCCAAACTGCAGGTCTAAACCGGGAGTGCACAAGTCGATTGGCATGAGGTACCCGTGTTCGTTACTGACAAGCCTTCGCCGCAGGACGAAAAGCTTTCAGTTTGTGCTCCTGGTTTAAAATGCATCCCATCCTAGTCCCTATTTGGTGTAGTTCTGAGATGTGCCCGTCCGTTCCCTGCTTGATTGCCAGCCCAAGGGCAGCCAGACCGCTGGCTGGGGCTGACGAATCCCTGCACTTGAGCTAAGTCTTTGGCTTGCCATCTCCCCATGCATTCATGGTGCGATATCATATAAACCGGGAAATATCCTTCTCCTGCCTCGTCCTACTAGTCTCCCTTGGGGCCGTCCGATGGTTTTCTCTCATGTCCCATCCAGGCAACTGGTGCCAGCTACTGCGCCCAGCGGCTGTTGGCATATTAACTGCTTTCCAGTCCTGGTCCTTCCTAATCCCTTTCTCCTCCCAATCACCTTTCGTCCGATTGTCTTGGGTGCTGCTCCTGGTTTCGCAGCGAGGTAGGCTGAAGCTCGCTGGTCATCTGGATGCTCCGGCCACCCTTACCGACATGGTTCAGCGATATGGAGCCGGGCGACATTCTCCCCGTTCACAGTTCCGACGCATCACAAACCTATCCTCCGAGAGCGAGCATGGAAGCATCAGCTATGTTCTCCGACGAAGGGCTTCTTACAACCTTGTGTCGCTGTCCTCTTGTGCCAGGTTGGTCATGGTGCCCCGTCCTGACTTGTCATCTTGCCATCTCCCTCTCCCTCTTACATGTAGCCAGCAGTCGGTCATGGTCACACCGTGTCCGGCACCCGAGATTGTTAAGTGAATCTAGCCTGACGTATTGCTCAGATTCCCTGGGCCCAGGACTAGGCCCTGTCAGCCCGACTTCGACTCAGAGGACCCGGACTGGGCCAGGCTTGGTCAGCCCCTTCAAGGATTGCGTGGGCGGGTTCTGCCAGGATCCAGCCCCTCGTTATCCGCGGCCCCGAGACAGTCAACTCAACAGCTATCTGAAGTTCCGTTGGACTAAGACCGAGAAATGGTCCAGCGACAACTCGAAACGGACTGCCCCGCCAAAGACCAATCAATCCCCTGTTTGCAAGACATCCGCAAACACTAGGTCTAGCCTGGTAGTTGCAATGGCGGATATCACTGCGCCAGGCCATATCTTCCTTGCCCCCAAGCCACTGTCGCCTTTGGCGCTTGTGGTGACTCCTGAACGCCCTACATTATCACCCCTGTCTGTCTGGACAGATAGCCCGAGGATGCAACCCCCACACTTTGGGTTTATGGCCAAGATGGATGGACTTGACAGGAGATTGTGGGACTTTTGTACGTATGATGATATCCATCCTTTTCCTGTCACAGTTTCCTTTGGTTCGAATGCTGCATCCCATTCGCTCCAAACGGCACGGGGCAGTATTTACTTCGGAGCTGTTATCATCTAACTCTCCCTCTTGCACACAGACGTCAAGAACTGGTGTCCGGGAAGGAGCGTTCTCGACAAAACCAACCTCTGGCTCAAGGACTTTGCCCAAATGCACGCAAGCGACGGTATTCGGGCTGCAATTCAAAGCCTCGCCGGCGTTTACATCTACGACTACTGTCCCACTGTGGCGATACGCAATCGGGTAAATGCGAGATTCTTCGAAGCCGAAGACCGTTTAACTCGTTTGCTCAACAATCAGATGATCTTGGAAAAAGACCAGATTAGCGAGCTCATCACGATCGCGGCGATCCTCTCCATGCAAGACGTGAGTTGTTGGCATCGCCTGACCTGTAGTCCGCTCTCTAAACCATTTCCAATAGATCGTACTTACCGAACGGCGTTTGCAAAAACCGCAAGAACCCCGTTGGATGCAACGTTTCGGACACTGTGAGCAATTTCTTCGCATGACCGGTCCCGGTGCCCAATTCACGCATGGGCAAAACATCCAACCAACGTCTTTACACCTGTCGCAATGCGTTATGACCGGCCGGGCCCTCATCTTGGCTCAATGCGTGATGGTCCTGCATTCACCGGCTGATCTACATCTAACTGAGGAAGCCGGGCGGTATAGCTGGCTTCTGCAGGGTACGAGGGAGGCCAGCTACGAGATCCATGGTGGTTGTGGCTTCTCGAGGAAGCTTCTTCATGTCATCAGCCAGATCACCTACTGCGCAGCTCGGCTCCAGCAGGACTGTGATAGCCCTGTTGTGCCAATTACGGCCGAATTCCTATACAGAGTCCTGGTGGAAATGAGACAACGGAGTGGCGAGGCAGCAGATGGGCAGACAACCAAAGCAAGCCCTCCGACGATTGAGTGGGTACGGAAAATGCCGAACGGATACATTGTCGACTCATCAGAAGAGATGACAGTGGTAACGGCTGAGGCGTGGCGGTTCGCCGCACTGATTTATTTGCAATGCCGCCTTCTTAGGTGAGCAGTTTCTATCAGTTTAATGAACATACTAAAGTTGTAGGCTGTCACGAAACAACCCCCAGGTCGTTGCCAATATGTGCAACCTGGCCAGTTGCATCCGGCTCCTGCCAACGTCAGGCGCGCAGTTTACTGCTCAAGCGCCATTATTCCCGGTCTTTCTCCTCGGCATGCTCGGAACGGTTCCCTATCATAGGGAGGTGTCAGTAAACTGGTTTGAGCCGGTGGTCCAGACACCAGTCAGGAGCGTACGTGTCGAGCCCGGCTCCCGATCGCATGACTAAATCGTGTACCAGAGTGTCCCTCCGCTCTACGCTGTCTTACGCCGAATCTGGACCTGGATTGACACGGAAATCGCACTGCCTGTGTCCTTTACACCGGAAGAAGACCTTCCAGTTGGACACAGGTATCCGTGGTGGGAACAATTAGTGGCACGAATAGATCGTGGTGAAAATGAGTTGCTATGCTTGACCTGAAGGGTAAGCATGTTTATGCAGTCCGGCCGTGTTCCATGTACGGCAATGGCGGTGGTGGCAATTTTTGGCAATTGCTATACGGGCACAACCAATTTTGCTGCACGGGCGTTATCCGGGCTCAGTGGACGGCCCGTCAGCCCCACTGAAACGGCCGGTCGGTCGGAAGGCGGTGGGACAGCCATGCTTCTCTCAATCAGTGTGGCTAACAGACAGACCGTCTGACAGACCGCAGACCGACAGACCGGTCATTCTCGTCAGACCGACATTTATTTATTTATTGTATTTTGCGTCCAGCGACCTTTAGGTCTCTCAGATCCCCGAGACGGGGCACAGGATGTGCTTGGCTGCCGGAAGTCTACTATCTGCTTATCGATACAGAGACAAGCGGGGCGGCCCACAGAACGTGCAAACGAGGCGGGCTCCATCCCGCGTAATCTGCCCCTTTCCAGGCAACGTAAACAGTCCACCATCCAGCATTTCGTCAGCTCAACGGCGCTTCTTTGCTCAGCTTGTTGTCCGTCAGCGGGTCGTCCAGGCGCGACAGCGTTGTCTTTCAATAGGCCTCACCGGCCACGGTCAAACGAGATACGATGCTGCAGAGCAGCAAAACTGACCTGGGCGGGCAAAGGGTGGTGTCAGCACCCTCCGCCTGGCCGAGTCGAGGAGAGTAGACACAAAGGAAACGGGGAAAGAGGGGACGAGGTGCCGCTTAATGGCGAAGGCAGATCGTCCCAAAGAACGAGCTTGCCTTCGCCACCTTGACGAACTGGTCGAAATCTCTGCCTATTGCACGGTTGACCGCCGCGCTCGGTGATGGTGCCAGCCTCATCCGATGTCGCGGCGCGATCTTCCTGCAATAGAAGAGATGTTTCGGTTCTTTTCGTCGGCCACATGAGCAGGTCAGCCGTGCATCGTCGTGGTTGAACCTTTCGTGGTATTCAGCAAAGTCCCAGTGTTGGGTTCTTGCTGCAAGCAGATGGTGTAGGAGAGGTCCTGGAAGGGTAAGTTCTGGTGGGTGGCCAGTCATGAGGTCGAGGTCGAGGATCCTGTATTGTTGGGGTGCAGAGGCTTCCCACCGGGCTTTAAATGCGTCCTTAGGCCGCCGCCGAGCGACCTTGCGCAGATATGCCAGCGTCGGGAGAGCGTCTGCAGGGTCTGGTTGAGAGGTTCCTGCCTTTGCTAAGGCGTCTGCCTGCTCGTTGCCCGGGATGTTGGTGTGGCCAGGGGTCCAGCGGATCTCCGTGGCACCATGTGCAACGGCCAAGGCCTGGAATTCCAGGAACTCCTTCTGGGAGGAGTCTGAGGGCATGCCTTGCAGGCATGCCGCAGCTGCGAGGTTGTCAAGGCATACGACGACTCGCTCTGGGGCCGAGAGACCCAGAGCGGCCCGCAGACCAGCGACCATGTTCCTTCTCACAGCCATTGCGACCCATGGCTTGTTCGCCCGCGTGCTGGGCTTTGGGTTGGGAAGTAAGGAAACAGCCAGCACGAGGGACGGGCCGAGCACGGCGATGATCTCGACAAGGTCGGACAACCCTAAGTTGCGATATTCGATCGGACTGGAGAGCTGTGTCTTGGCTCGCCCCCGAAACCTGCAATGCACCCACTGCTACTCTCGTGCAGAGCCCGCTTGCCACGCTTCGAGGAGAACACATCATGCAGAGCCCAGCCCGACTTGCGGGCCACGGATAGTCATTCCCAAGGCACTCTCACACGACACGCACACAAGGGGAAGGAGTGGCCCGCCCGCAATCTTGCACGCCGCTGAAATCTGAGTGGACAGCCCCCGCCCTGCCTCGTACGCCGCCGCCCCTGGCAAGGAAGAAGCAAAACCCCGCCGTGGCCATCTGGGCCCATCGACTCGTTCATGTCACCCGTCATGCCCCTTGTCCAAACTGACGCCTCCCGCCCATAAAAGTGGCAACGAAAAAGGAAATGGAAGGAAAAGAAGAAAAAAGTAAGGAAAGAGATCACAGGGTCTTCGGACCCGGGGGTCTGGTACGCCCCTGTTCGTCTCAGCCACGCACACGTCAGTCTGTGCACTTCCCGGACAGCCTGACTCGTGTCAAGTCTCATAACATGGGAGTTGGGCGGAGCGGCAAAGCCTCAAGGCAACAGAAAAAAGCAATGAACAACAGACGACCGACGCTTCCCGCCATGCATCCGCGGCGTTCGTGCCGTCTGATGGGCCCCTATCGCCGAGACCCAGGCCCCCAGTCGCGGGCCCATGGGTGCGGATTCGATGACATAGCCGCACATGCCCTGAGGATTGCTAAGCAGTTTCAATGCAGTGGCTGCGGACTCCCGTTTTGGGAGGGTCGCGGCTTGTAGCGGCTCGATGTTGTGATCGCGGTCTGTCGAGGCTTCGGCCGGCGCGCCCCTTCCAAGACATCATCTTAATGGAGACCCATCGTGACGTTCACAGCCCTAAGCCATTCTAGGCTTGATACGTCACGTATCATACATATCCGAAGACTGCTCTTCCCCGGCCTGACAGACTGACGGCTTTTGTTCTACAGTACCCTTGAGTCGAAAGGGGACGAATGAGTCGATGACGCTGGCTTCTTGCTCTGCGAGTCACGATCCCCAGTGTGACCGCCCCTCGAAGAGCTTCGTGGAGAGACACGGCCAGTCTATAACTCTGTGTTACTGAATGCGTTCCCATGGGAATGGAATCAGGGCCCTTACCTGCTTTGCCCAACGTAGACCACAGCTGTTACAGAGGTCCCTTTGGCCGCTAGGGCCCCTCCGCCACTCAGGTGTGTTACGCGTGTGGCAATTGGCGCAGTCCCGGACAATATTGCCAACGCCCTTCCGTCTCTTCCTCCTCTTCTTATTGGAGAGAAGTTCGCTAAGCTCCTCGGCGAGAATTCGATTCATCTTCTCGATCTGTCTCAGTTCAAACTGCCAGCTCGAACACTTTGCCGTTCGAAGCTCATCAAATATGTTGTCATCCGCGGCCAACGAGGTGTCTTGCGAGCCAGGAACCAAGAGCCTACCACCTGGTTGTGACACATGCCCGTCACTTAGTTCAGCTTGGGGATGGGTGTTCGTTAAAGGTATCGCTGATATCGACTTGGTGCCTGCGGCGCCAGCCGGAGCTAGGATGCGGGATGATGCCTTAAGCAGCTTGGTCTGTGCCAACAAAAAAGAAGGCTTCTGACCTTCGCCAGTGTCACCCGGGTATAAGACAGTTTGTGCTTGCAGCCATTGCCCGCGGCGATTCTGGACTTCGTGCTTGCAGGTAACAATCTTCCCACGTCTCGCCTTTTCAATGGCGCGGCCAAACTCCGAGCGTGACTCCTCTCGCATCAAATCCTGGATGCTCGTGCCGACAAGCGACTCAGGCTGAAGGTCGAGGAGCGACCGGACTTTAGACGAGACGTAGAGAAACATACCCGAAGTAGATAGCTTGGTCCAGAGCTCGCTGTCGTCGATACCACCGTTCGCCTCAAGATTCTGTCTGCTGAGGGAAAGCATTGGTCGCCTTCGACCTAACAATATGATACTTCGGCGGCCCTTGCCTTGTTCGACGACCAGAGAACCGTGGCTCTCGAACCACGTGTAGCCGCTCTGCTTTTGTCGAATTCGGAAGATGATGTTCACCTGGCTGCCCGTTGCGGCATCCTTGAGTTCGCGTGTCACCGAAACGATATCCGAGGGGTGGCAGGCGGAGGACAACGGATTGCCCACAAGATCTCCAGCGTCATACTCAAGAACACGCTTGCAGGAGGGCGAGAGGTAGAGAAAGAGGCCCTTGAGAGATAGAACATGGACAACGTCGTCAGTGTTCTCCAACAGCATCTTGTCCCATGACTGCTTGTACCAGTCCGAGACAAGCCCCTTGGGCTTGAACTGCTGCAAAAGCGTCGAGACGTCATCAGCACTCAGCGTCTGGCCACTTTCGGGCTCCCATTGACTTGAAGCCGGTGGTGTCCAAATGTATTGGCCAATGTCACTATGCTTGTAGTTGACCTTGACCGAGCCCAGCTCTTGACCAGAGATCGCATCTGGACACTCGACAAGGTCAATTTGAAACCCAATCCAGTACTTGATGTCGTTGGTATCCCAGGTAATTGGTATCATGGTCAGCAAGTTCAGGAACGGCTTTCCTCCCTTGCGGTAGTTGATAAGGCTTTGCTGCACCTCACTGCCTCCGTGAATCATTCTCTTCAGGTTGTACACAGCACCATCATCGACAAACTCGCGCTTTGACCCGGCCTCGACCTTGCCATCCGGCGCCTGAAGGAATCGGCAATTCTGTCCGACGATTTCGTGGCGGCTGTAGCCGGTGAGATTTTGAAAGTTGTCTGACACGTACACAATAGGGCAGTCGTTCATTGTCACATCGCAAACGGCAAAGGCGCACGACAGGTCGACTGCACCTAGATGGATCTTGGGATCCTTGCGAGTGGCAACCAGCCAAAGGGCCCTGAGCATATCAAAGCCGCTTTTCGAATATATCGTCTTCCCTTGGGAGTCGGGCGGCGCTGGCGTAAAGGTGGACACAGGCTGGTCCGAGGTGGAGCAAATTTGTGCCGCACTGGTAGAGTAATCACCAAACCCCGCTGCAGTATCTGAAGGGGGCATGACTGGTGATCCCAGGAACGACGAAGGAGGCGAGTCGCATAAAGAACCGGCGTAGTCGAGGAAACGATTCAAGGCAAACCCTCTGTCCGTACCATACCATTCAGAACCTTTTTGTCCGGAAATGCTCTCCAGTTCGATGCGATCCATGTCTAAAGCTCGGATCTTTGACTGGATGTCCTTCATTTCGGCCTTAAAGTTGGCCTCCATCCTCTTTGTTCGTTCATCGATTCGCGCTGTGGCGGATCTTCAAAATGTTGTCAGTTTAGGAACAAAAATAAACGCAGATCATGAGACACTTACGCTGTAATGGTGCCTACTGCTATGCTGAGAGTAGCCTTGTAGGTAACAAGGGTATCACGAAGTAGCTGAATCTCCTTGTCCTTCAGAACCCAAGCAATGCTTTTCCATGCGACGAATTTTTCCAACCCAGCTCTTGTAGTCACCGTATATCTGCGCAATGTGGTCGTGAATTTGTCGAACACGTCAACGCAGTTTTCTAAGGGGTTTCGAAGGTGATCGAATAGCAAACCGTGTCCGGCAAGTTCGTTCTCCATCCCTGCAAGCGACCCCAGCACTTCATACAGCCCCTTCAAGTCAGCGGAAATCGCCGCAACATCTTCAGGGGCACTTTGCAAACTGTCGATGAATTGAAGGAGCCGCTTTGAGCTATGCAAAGCAGCGCGAATGATGCCAACTATATCGTTGGCACTGGGCGGGGCAGCCATCCAGGAAGCGTGGCCTGCCTCGTATGGGCGCTCGAGTCAGGAAATGTCGGTCTGCTTCGAGGCGTGACGGTGCAGAACCTGGTGTTTGTCATGTCAGTGTCGATACGCGCGAAGGGGAGGGTAACTGGGCAATGGTGTTGGTAGGAGGCTCTGCTCGAGGCGGACTGTAAGGCTGACTTGGCTGAAGCTGTCTGGGCGCTACCGACTCTAACTGGATTTAAGCACCGGTCACGTGGTGTCGGCATGGTGGCAGGGTCACAAGTTGCCACCCTTCCAACAATCCATGGTCACCTGGTAGCAAATAACCAGAGTCTCGATGATTGCTGATCCGAGCGCCTTATGACCTCGATTTTGCCTTTAAACGCAATCGCGGGTCTAAGTCTCCCAACACGATGGGACATTTTGCAAATGTCCAAGCGAAACATTCTCTCGAACAGAGCTTGCTTCATCACGACCTCTATGCCTTCCCAGACGGATCAATCAACAGCAACTCTTCAGCTTGAGCTCTGCTTCGCTCCGCCGCTTCCCGAAACCGCCACCGACCGCCTCGTCATCTCCCGTCTGCGTCGCCCAAGCAAGGATACCTCGATGGCCTGACAGGGGTATCCTCTTTGGCCGAAAGAGGCTCGAGGCATAGTAACAGGTATCGCGATGGGCGGTATAGAAGTCGGATAAGTGCATTACTCTGTTGTTGCTAATGGTGAACGATTGGCCGTCTAGGGACCAGGTCAGATTGGACCTATACCCTTCTTTCTTGATGATGCTCTTCCCAAACGCCTTTAGCTCCAGTATCTCGCCAATGGGAGTGTGACATCCTCCGAGCATGTATTTGGTCCGGATTGCTTGGAGCCGCTCAGGTTGCGACGGATAGGTGTGTCGGGCCGGCCAAACGTAAACGAGAGTGTCGTAGCTGCACAACGGTAAAGCATACTCAAGAAAAGCCGACCCACCCACATCAAGGCGGCGAGAGAAGGCGTGTAGTTATATGCGCTGCGATAGGCGAGAGAGGTCCTATGAATCCCCATGACGGCTGTGAAATGCACGAGAGCCGAGGAACCCAGAACGCCCGTTTGACATTGATGCGTCCAAAACATCATGGAGAGTTGGAAAAGCGCCTCGCTCGAGTCTCGTGCCACAGGGAAGGGAAATGGAACATCGTTGAGAGGATGGATTCTCGCCATGACCACCGTAGTCCTCGTCGCAAGACACGTCATCGTTATCATCACTAGTCTCGTCGTCGCTGGTCTCGTCGTCGACGCTAGTATCGTCATCCAAAACGCCATTCGATATGTCGGTACCTTCACATTTGTCATTGCTGCCATCGTCCACTCCCGCGCCATCGGCCTCGGTGTTTTCGCCTAATTCGCTCACGCTCTGTTCGCACCAGGAGCTCTCGCTACCCTCGTCATCGTTTGCAGTCCCATCTGCCTCGCCTTCATCTTGTAGCCGTGACGCCAGTAACAAAACATGGTGCATCATCGTCATCTCGTCGGCACGCAGTGGGATATTATGGATTTCGCGTCGCTTCCGGGGCTCTAGCGTAATGGCTCGGAACAGGTAGCAGATGAATTACTTCCACTTCGACTTGTATCTTGCCTTTGTTCTGGGTGGTGAAACTCGCAGTGGCCGAGTATAGAAGGTATCTCGCCAGTAACTCGAGATCCAGCAACGAGATCGGTAGGACGTGCGAGCTAAAGTGGCTTCCGCCCGATCGAAAATGTCGTCGACGGCTTGCATGAGTATGCGCAACCGTGCCTCTGCTCTGGCAGAGCTCCAGACAGGTACGCCTTCCCAAGCCCCCAGCAGCAAACCCTCCTTGCCTCGATTTGGTCCTGCTGTAGGCTGGATTGCAGAGGCCGTGATGATGTCGAGCGGACGACTCTGAAAATACTCCGGCCACCCGGTGTGTTTTAGCCATGGCGTGGTCTCGTTGTCCTCAACGCATGAATGTAGTTGGCGATCGCGCCATATCTGTTTGCTTTCAGCGTGCAGGCGGCGATCCTCGGCCGCTTCTTGTTCCAGAAGTCCCGCGTCGACCTTTCGCGGAGGTGATTGCCCTGACTCTGACCGATCTGAAAAGCTGCCACGTCTTGTTGGCGAGCACGGGCTTGTCGGCGGCGGAGTCCTCAAATGGGTTGCTGGCGGCTGGCAGCGTGGTGGCGAGGAGCCAGGTCTGAGTGGAGGCAGAGCTATTTATTGTTCACTTGGGCGTGCAGCAGGAGAACAGCATCACGGTTAAGGGGGAGTCTTGGAGAGAAAATGCATACTTTGAATCCACGAGTTTCACGAGAACGGACGGAGGTTCACAGGTAACGTTGAAATAGATGCAGAGACAGAATTAAAAACGCGGCAATGCGCGGCCTCCTTCCTTCCTGCCCATACGTGGTGGGGTTTTTCACTATTCCTGTGCCCCTTCTCATCTCGCGTCCCAAGTAACGAGCCGGCTGGACCTATCGGACCGTTCCGCCGCGAGTGGGGCGGTCGGCTCGGCAGGGCCCGTGTCCCGGGCGCTGGATGAGTGACCTTTTTCGGTGAAAAAGGACGGAGAGGACGGCGAAACAGACGGCAGCCAGTAGCAGAGGCCGAAACTGGCAGGGGGGTGCTTTTTCGCCGAAAAGGAGAGCGCGAAAACAGACAGTAAACGAGGGCCCTTTTTCGGCGAAAAAGGACGGAGAGGACGGTAAAATAGACGGCAGCCAATAGTAGAGGCCGAAACTAGTAGGGGGATGCCTTTTCGCCGAAAAGGAGAGCGCGAAAACAGACAGTAGGCTTCCTAAAGCGGCTTTCTAAAGTTGCGTATGTGCTCTACCTACACGACATGCAGCGACATCATCCAGTTAGCGCTTAGGCTTGTCAAAAGCCGCGTGCGAAAACAGACAGTAGGAGTCCAACCCTCGCCGTCACGCAGCTCTGATACGTCCTAGGTCGAATGCAAATGGTTGCTGCAGGCGTGAGCGGACAATATTCGTCAAGTTTTGGCGCGATCGCGGTAGTCTTTCAACACCGACGATCGCTGACCGGTATATCCCACCAGCTCCATCCACTCGCCAACAGACTTGACCCGGGTAGGAAGGATCTCGTCAAGTAGCGCATAGTCAACTTTGACGAGATCATCTTTCCAGCTGTTCCAGAATCCAGAGAAATTTTGTCGGTAGGTCATCAATGTGGAATCCTCAACACTATGACCAACCTTGCCGTCCGGAAATGGAAACACGCCGGATGCGAAATACTCATCAAGTGTTACGTCTTTAAAGAAGGCCCTCTTGCCCGTTGCCTCGGTAAAGGAGTCGGCCAGGTATTGCCATCCAACATTTTCTGTGGCAACCTGCAAATTTAGGCCGTTGCTAAGCTCGGGGTGATCGAAGATCCACCGGGCATAGCGGCCGAGGTCAGCGAGGTATATCAACGGCGGCTTCCCGTTCCCGACAGGCGCTGAGAAGATGAGCACATCTGGGTCATCCGGGCTGGGTCGCGGTGCCAGCAGTTCGGAGAGCGTTTCCATGTACATGCAGCTCGACAGAATGCTCCATTTCATAGTATTCGAAGGTTGCGTAGAGATGTAATCCGCAACCTTACCCTTCCCGTCCATGTGGCCCGTTCGGTACTTGGGATGGAAGTTGCCAAGCTTGGATAAGTAAGGGAGGGAAGCCCACTGGAAATGAGATACACCGGAAGCGCGCGCAATCTCAAACATCCGGATTCCCCAGTAAATTTCGTTCTTTTCGCCGATTGCGAACCCGTTCGTATTGATCCACGCGAGGTTGATGTCTTTGAACGCCTTATAAAGGGTTGCTTCGTCATATGCATCCCCTTCAATAATAGTTACGTCTGGAAGGCTCGCAAGATCCTTGGCGCTGGACGACTTCGCAGATCGAGTAAGGACTCGTATTTCGTATGTAGAACCCTCCGATAGAGCTGGGCTTGTCAGGAAACGAATGCAGTAGGGTACGAGACGGTCCGACTAACATCGCACAACAGGCATGCCTTGGGCACCGGTGCCCCCAATAATGAGAATGGCCTTTTTGTCTTGTGCCATCGTCAGAGACGCCCTCGAGGGGGGTAGTGAGACTTGTTATGAATTGGAAGGGGCGGGGTAGTTTGCTTCTGAAGTACGATTTAGCTCGAATATGGTGGCCCGGTTTAAGGTTGGGAAGTTATTTGAAGCCACTAAAGCTAGCCTGTAGACACAACGAGATACAATTGGCACTTAGCAGCCACGTTTAGTTGGTAGCTCGGCAGCTGAATGTTGAGATACGTGTGGACAGTGCGGAATCCAATAACCCTAACCCCAATTGTTGGTGTGTTCGGGAAGTCGTACGGCGTGGCTGCCCAAGAGTGCTACACAGCCCATAGTGTCAAAATTTATCTCAAATGTTCGTTTTGGCTACCATCGGTCCGTTAATATGTACCCGAATATTCCATTCTTCCATACCCTGCAACGGTAGAACCTCTTGCAAGGGGCACAAGCGAAGGGGTTGCGGGACAGAGATATTGTAGGATTTCTAGGTTGTACTGTAGAATTGGTCGCTGCCTGCTGTCCTGATCGCTCGCCCCAGGTCGTGATTGGATAACATTCACTTTGCTCGCGCACTCACTTTGTTCAAAAGCCCTCGTCTTTTGATGATTGTATTGATTGTCCACTCGGGGCTACACCCCTCGCTCATGCTGATTGGAGACATATGTCGCCATCAATGTGTAGGCGACACCCTCGTGTAATTCTTACGACGGGCGAGGCTACACGCGCACCAAGTGACTTAAAAGCAGTACTTGGCGGCCTGTGACACCTGCGGCTTCAGACCTGGTAACCCGGGCCATGATCAACTGCGGCAGAGTTGATGGTGTAGCCACACTTTACGGGGGGCATAATTGAATTGCCGTACAAGGGCAGAGTTGATAGCGCGTATCGCGTGTTAGGGGTTGCGTGGGTTGCGTGTCCCACGTCGCGTAGAGCAGGCCTGCACGGCATAACGCAACCGCAACTCCGCATGGGACTAAATCCTTGGGCCAGTCTTGAATGGAATGATTGAGAGGATAGGGTCGGTCATATGGGGTGTGGTTTGCAGGGCTGCAGCTCGACGAGTACAGTGCCGATAGACCATCCTTTAAAATAGCGTTGCGCATAGAACGGGGGAGCCAATACAGGCACGGACCCCCGTGCCTCCATTATGTAAGGCGACATTCAGCGCAGTGGCTCCCCCTAATAAATCACCTACGGGCTTAAGTCCTAGTGAACGTGTCGCAACGCGTAGACACAGCCAACAGCGTAGCCGAATGCTTCTAGGTTTTGACAAAGATACACTCGTCTGCACTACCGGCTACCGCATGCAAAGCCTCTTGCTCTCGGCAATCTTCCTCGACCCGTCGCCATATCTCTTTCATACCCCTTCTCGTGTTCGCGAGAGGATTGTCCCCCATTTCCCTCGCAACTTGCGCTTCCACGCGTTCGTCTTCTGCCCGACTCCAGTCTAAATATGCCATCTGCTCCTCTTTTGTCCAGCTTCTTAGCCCAGTCGAGGTTAGACAGCGTGCAGACATCTGCTTGTAGTCCAAGCACCATTTAAAACTCTGTTTGTCGTATCTTTGCGGAAGACCCATTGCCTTGCGGTATGCTTGGTTGGTCTTGATGCTGCCACGAGGCTGCGCCTTGTACCAGGCCTCCCGTGCCTTCACATACCTCTCATATATCACACGTGGGTCGTCGTACCGTAGATGCTCAACGGCCGGGACAGCCTTTTCTGCAGATGGCAGAGACTCTGTGGTCGCTGGAGCGTCGACGAACGCTGTACTTGTTGTCGACTGGACATACTCCGCATCCCCTCCAACCGACGCGGCCTCCCCGGTTGGCGCAGCCTCTATGATTGTTGCGCTTCGCGTAGCCTCCGTTTGCACACCCTCTCCAATTGCTGTATTCGATGCATGTCGTGCATCATGTGCAGTTTGCGCAGCATTTTCATTCTCGGCAGCCTCTTCAATTACCGCAATTCGCGTAGCCTCGGTAGGATGTGCAGTCTCCGCAGTCTCTACGAATGTAGCTCTCGCTGCTACTTGCTCTATGAGCTCTGAGTGCCGTAGTGGGCAAACTCGGGACGTCATTGTATGTCCTTTCGTGTGACATCTGCTGCAGGTAGGGGCAGTCTTTACTTTTGGCCGTGCCTTCTCCGTTACCTCAAACAAACTAGGCCCGCGCCGAGTAGACGACTGTGCTGACGCTGATCTGCCGGTCAGCGTGTTAAATTGCCGACGAGGTTCTGTGATGAGTTCTGGCTTCTCGCTGCCGCGATAAAGCAGCCAATGGGAGTGGAAGTGATGGAGTTGAAGAAGGAGACAGTCCTCTACCAAAGGACGAAGTGTGTGAGCGCATGGGAGACCCTGAGTCCGAGTGAATGCGCCCGTGCAAGCAGGGATATTACTTTCAAGTCGTCTCCTTTGCTGGTCGACCTTGCGCAGCGCCTCGTGAGAGACCCATCCACGTATGGTGCTGAAGAGTGGTCCAGAGAAGTCAAGTGGCGTCCGTATTTGCTGACAGGCTTGGTTAGCTCGAAGTTCGGCGAGCTGGTTCAGCAGTGCCTGCTTGATCCCATTCCATGCGGTGAAAAGGTCTTGTTGTGAGTTCTTGAGATGCCCCTTCAAGAGTGCGTGGATGCCTTCAACCCGAGAAGTGACGTTGTTGCCAAAATGAGCATGCTGGTCAACCCAGGCCTTCACGAGCTTCTCCTTGTACAAGTCAAGCCACGTCTGCTTGATGTAGCTAACCTCGTCAACGTACTCTGGCACATAGCGTCTTTCAAGCTCGTCAAGCTGTCGGTTGTATGCTTCTTCGTCTATGGAATTGACGATTGCAAACCAGTACCCGAAGAATTCCGTCCATTTCTCAATGCTTTGCTCGTCACCCTCGCGGCGCACGAACGCAGGTCTGCAGTAGGCCAGTACTGCCTTATTTGCGTGCCAGAGACATAGAAGGGAGATGGATCCGGGAAAGCAATGAGCCACAGCGTTCATGCAAGCAAGACAGCGATCCGTAAGGACCACAGATGGATGTGAGGCGCCACACATGTCATACATGGAGCGTAGCCGATCCAATGCCCAAATGAAGTCTTCTTCGGCCTCGCCGCTAAGGAAGGCGAGAAATTGTTCTGGTGTCCATAACGCATCCCAAAATGCACTTGATGCATCAGAACGCGAGAGCCAAGATAACTATGGATTGTACCCAAAGCCAGCCGGGTGCATTCCAATCAGACGCTGCCTCATTGTTGCCCGATGAGACAGAAGTCGTCCTCGGAGCATCCGATGCAGTCTTTGTCACGGCAGTCAAATCCAACGTAGTCGTCGGTGTCACGACCATGGCGGCAAGGCTGCTTGCCACGGCCTTGACATTCAAGTCACACGGTTTCGGATCCTGTGCCGCATCATTTGCAAAATGAGCGCAGCCGGTCTGGTTTGCCTCAACCTTAACCGCCGTCCCCGGCTCGGGACACCCCTCATACCTTTGAATGGCATCCCGCGGCAATATTGCCTCTGGCTTCAACGTAAATCTGACTGTGCCTCTCCTCTCCGGAAATGCCCCTCCATCGATTCTGAAGCCGCCATCAGGTCGATCCGTGCAGTTGGTTACGAACCTGAATTCCCACGCCAATGTGCATTCATCCTTGTCGCCGTCTCTCCAGGACGGAAAGCTATTTCCATTTCCATACTTGTCCGCCAGTGCGTCCGTGGCGTTGATATAGAAGAAAGGGTCTGCGAGCGGTGGCAGCTCGTTGTCGCCTTCGAGCTGGCCCCGACCGAATAAGGTCCGTTTCGTACAGTCGACGGCCCAGTAAAGCTCTGTAGAGAACGAGAGTAGCACAGGGCTGTTACGGAGACCTAGGATGATAGGAAACGGTGCCGCAACGCCGTAGGTACTGTTGCGAGGGAAGACAATTGAGATATCGCCCGTCGCAGGAAAACGAACTTGGTCCGCAGCCCGAGCTAAGACCGCCATGGCCAGTGCGCTGAGGTGCGTCAACTGCATCGCGAGAAAGTCTTGGGGTGAAGTCGTGATTGAAGCTGCTCGCCCAGAGTGGACGATCAAAATACCAATTCGATCCAGAACAGATATTCACGGACCAGTCCGCTGCGCGGTGCAAATGATGACCCGCTCATGACTGCCAACGGTCAGCGCCAGCCCCCGTCCAGCTAGTCCAGGACAGACATGGCGGGGTTATGGTATGGCTCGTGACGTGCTCGTCTTGCATAAGTCCTACCACACCATGTTATCTGCCACTGTTTGACAGGCGGCGCAGAAGGTCAAGCCAACCAAGAGAAGAGTTCAAGAGTTGCCAAAGGCTTCGTGGCACCGTTTGCAGCCGTGGATACTAGTCAAGTGTGTGGCGGTAGGGATTGGGCTTTGTATCTGCCGGACTCAATCCACAATGATCTGCAGGGCAAGGTTGCCCGCTGCATCACAAGGACGTCGAGAAACCGGCACGTACAGTACCGTAGCTGCCCAATGTAAGTAAAGTACTGTATCAGACAATACACGCCCCTCCCTTGCATTCCCACAGCGGCGGTAGCCCTGTTGCCCACCACTAACTTAGGACACCCATTCGCGGAGTACGTACCCAACCCAGACGGCAAGAAACTGAGCCGCATAATAGCGGGCGTCTCACAACCTTGCAGGTTCTGCCCCGAAGTCAGCGGCAAAGACGGCGCAGGCCTCGTGATTTGGAGTTTGTCGGACGAAAGCCCCTAGTATCCGCTCTAGGGGCGGGCTTGGGTGAGATGTGGATGTGCGACGCACGCCGTCGTGAGGAGGGGGTTGGTGCCAGACAAATTGACCCACGGTTGTCCATTTTTGGCATCAGTCAATTGATGAGAATATTATAAAAGGCCGGCTGTAGGTGGACGACATTGCGCAGCCCTTTAACCGCCCTTTAACCTTATACACAAAGGAATTTCCTGCTTTGTAAAGCAGAGCCATGACCAAGGCTGCTGGTCATGCTGGAACCCGCCCATGTTTGAGCTTTGACTTCGACGGGGGTGATCCAAGCACCACGCATGTAGGTGCTGCTCTGCGTTAATACGCGGGTTGTAGCATCGGAATTCCGTGGGCAACCAGGCCGATTCTATGTACTATACGACGGTGGTCTGGCTTTCTGTGCGATACTTAGGCATTGTATTGCCCCCCTTATGTGGATGCATTCGGCCGCGCCATAGCGGGGTGACCGTGTACTCCGGTTCCGATCCGGCATATGTTTCGTTCGTCCGGCACATTCAGAACACTCACTGTGACATAGGCGCGCTTGTCAACTCGCTTGCGTCCTCTGCACGTTTCAGCACGTCCCTGGCCACCTTCATGACCGGCCCAATGCACTTCACGTTGCGCCTCGCCTCGTCCATCAGCTGCGCGCCCGTGTGCCCATGCCTCGCGTTCCTGGTGACGTATTCGCTCGTTTTGCCCGCCATCAGCGCCCACAGCGCCCGACACGTCGGGAACTGCTCCTCGAGCAGCAGCACCACCGCCGCCGCCACTGCTAGCAGCCGCCTCGTCTGCTCAAGGAGTTTATCCCCCGCCAGGTACTGCCGCAGCGCCAACACCACCCCGAAGAAGGACAGCCCAAGGCTGCTCTTGAGCTCCTCGTCGTCCCGGAAGTGGAAGCTCCCGTCCGATCGCTGGAAAGTAAGCATGCCCCGCACGAACCCCTCCGCCGCGAGCTCCTCTTCCGTCTTGGGTGCTGGCCGCCCGCTGTCCATGAAGAACGTCGATGCTGGCAGGTTGTAGGCGGGTGCCGATGCCATTGGAGGCAGGCACGAGGACGTCGTCGTCGTCGTTGTTGTCACATAGCTGGTCACTCGCGAAGGCCCCCTCGGGCCGGCACCCAAAGCGGTCCACGAGGGGCCGCTGGGGGCGGGCCCAGCCGCTCCGACGTCCCCGCACGGCGGGATCGGAATGCCTTTCCGGCCGGCGTAGCTCGTCGCAGGCAGCATTGTCCCCGGCCCGGGACTGTACAGTTCAGGCCTGGACGAAAAGGAAGTCGATCCTGCCCCGCTCGTGCGCCTCGCTAGATGTCTAGCAGTGCTGCTGGTGTACGTCTCGAGAGTCTGCGCATACCCCCTTTTCTTAACCTTGGATTTTGCTGGAGGAGTGTCAGAGCGTACAGATGGACTGAGCCGGCTTTTGGCCCGATGACTTACTCCCAACGTGATGGTCCTGGTAAACCGGCTTGGTAGAACTGCTCGCGACTGGCTGGATGATCCACGGATAAGTACTGGACCTGTCGAGCGGCGGCTTCTCCTTGCTCGCGGTCGACTCCCATTCGTCCAGCGAATGTTCCGCCGCAGCAGACGCGATATGCAGTGGGCTGAGCCACTGTCGACGCCGATGGAATTGTACCGGTTTGGAGACGCATCGTTTTGACCAACTGAATAGTTTGTAGGTCTCGAGCCTACCGGGCGCCTCCCAAGTGTTTTCACCTTCACGACACCATCGGGGATCTTGGCTGCCGCTGCCGCATCCTGAAGGTCATCCCTCATATAGGTAGTGAGGACCGCTCCCACAACTTCTACCCCGCGGGTTCGCGATGATGACCGATTCCGGGACCAGGATGTCTGAGACGTCGCGGGCGCAAACCTGGCGTCTCCAACCCTGCCGCGATGGTGTTCCACGAGGCCGGATACCGTCGTCCGTCCTAGCTCGGCAGCGGCGAGCTCCTGATGACCGCTCCTCCGGCGAATTTCCGACCTCGACGTCAACGACGCAGACTCAAACTCCGGCTCGTTAGCGGCTCCAGTGTGATCCGAGGTGGCGTCGTCGACATTGTCCATTCGCGAGTCCCCATAGTCACAAATATCGTCAGGAATCTCATCGTGTCTGCCGTAATGTACACCATCGGCACTACCGGCACCAGATCGGCCATGCTGGCCCGCGAGATCCGCTCCAACATTAGGCTCGTTGTCGTTACCATCCCCATCGTCTGAGCCGCCGTCTGATCCGTCGTCATGTTTGGATTCGACGTTGTTGTCATCTTCACTGTCTGAGCTGGGATCACTCTCGGTGGCCGTGTCCAGAGCTTTATTAGCAGCGCCCCCCTTTGTCAAGCCGATATTCTGGTTGACCGTACCGCGAGGTTGCAAAAGTGCGTCTTCGTGTGTTGCCTCTTCTTCGTCAAGGTGAAACTGGATGTTAATGTCAAACGGCTCGTCAGTCTCCTCCTCGACAGCGTACAGGCTCTTCCACTTAGACACGAGGGACCACTTCATGCCCAAATCGATGGCCTCTTGGCGAACAGCGGCATCTTCGGCTCCGTCCTGGCAACAATGGAGCCAGCTTTCGCCTCGCTCCAAGTCGCCGAGCAGTGCCCGGACAGCCAGCTTGTGGAGAGTGGAATCAGGTTCCAGGAGGCGCTTGGGCAGTACCCTTTTTGTCGTTACATGCCCGCCCGGCGCTCTGATTTTGAGATTCACGGAGGTAAGTTCTGCTGTCTGCACGTCAGAGTCGAAAAGCAGGAAGATTCTGTTGCGGATGAAGGGACTGATGGCTGATATGTTGGCGGGAGACTGCTTGAACGACATCGGGGACTGAACGAGCTCTTGGCTATCCTCCTTGCGCCACTCAAGCCGCATCTCGACACTGCCAACATGACCCGCAAGGGCAGACTTTAGGACGGCAACGACCCGATCCTCCCAACCGCCGCCGCAGACGTTCGTGATGACCTCGGCGTAACCGCCTCCTGCCTTTGCTAGGCCCTCGACCAGCTCGTGGGAGACCGCGTACCCGATGCCCAGGGAGAAGCAGCGGAACAAACCTTCGCTGACGAGTCTCTTCTCCTTGACATATTCGATGATCTCATGCGGCCCCCAAATGGCGCCGTCTGTCAGCACAACCACGTCGAGGGTGTGGTAGCCGCCTCTAGGCTCATAGATTCTCTTTAGGGCAGGGAGAATATCGGTGCCGCCCATGTCGACGGCGAAGTTGCGCTGAACGTAGTGGATAGCTTCTAGCCGAGTCTGTTCCGTAAGGTTTTTGGAGCGCGGCCACATGTACTCGCACCTACTGCCAAAGCACCAGATATTGAACGGCCGGTTTTCGGGAATGCCGTGTATGAAGAACAGCATAGCCGATTTGAGGCTCTCAATCTTGCCCGTCATGGAGCCCGAACGGTCAGCAACGAAGACGATCTCGCCGTCGTGGGCGAAGCCCTCTCCACTTAGCAAATAGTCGGATGGGAGGGTAAGCATCAACGACTTGTGATTCTCCAGGTGCGGGTGGGCCTCGATGCAGGCGTGTGGAGTTTCATTGTTGTCAGACTGAGCCGTAGTTATGGTAATGACCATGTCCTTGTCAAGGCTCGCGCGAGCGTCCTCGAGCTCCACGGTGCCCATCTTTTGGTTAAGTTCTACATTGTCGCGCTGCATGACAAAATCGTCCCAGGTCTGACAGGCTCGCCGGCCGGCGCCTCGAACAAACCTGATGTTGTGCGTGTCACTGTTCACGGTGATGAGCTCCTCGGTAGTCAGGACATCTGCCTCGAAGCTCAAGAAGTGGCTGAATTGATACTCCACAAGGACACCCTGGGGCACGTCACCGAACCGCGGAGCGATAAACGTCGGCACCGTCAGGGTAAAAACGTCGCGGTTGTTCGAGGTCCTGTGTTTGAGAAAGCACATGAAGGACAGCTCGGCGCGCATCTTGGTATTGGCGTCGATGTTGGCGAGATTGATGGTGAAGATCTCAGCCGTCTCCTGCTCGACCATACCTCCAGTCCGGCCCCGGCGAACGTCATCGTCAAAGTCCCGGCGAGCTTCCTCCTTTCCCTTGACCTTGCCGCGGATGATCCTGTTCGTGCCGATGCGACAGTTAAACTCGGTCACCGTGGCATCGAGAGGCAAGGGGAACTGGTATGTGCCTTGCTTGATGGCTTCGGACCGGTTCCAGAAAACGTGCGTAACTGTAAACTTTGCTGTGTCGTGGACGATCTGGACTTTGACCGACGAGGATAGTGGCGGGAGGAAGCCCTGGTGCTGTTGTGGTGGCCGCTCTGGCAACAGGGCGAACCGCGTGTTGTGTGGCTCTGCCCAGTCGTCAGGGCTAGGGCGAGGCACCGGGCTACGAGGGATTCGAGCGCCCCAAGGATCCGGGCCGACCCGTGCGAAGTTGGTGATGCCCGGTCCATCACGGCCAACACCGAGCCCTCTCGAAGGGTCTCGGTTGAGCTCACGACGGTCAAATCCTCCAACGTTATCCTCGAGATGCGGAACGAGATGGGCGAAGCGGGGAGGCACCGGCTCACGGGGCCTGAACAGGATGCCCGGGAACATGCGAAGCGCGGCCTCGGCCATGGTACAAACGGTAATGGCCCGGTGTTCACGTCGCGTAAGTCTCGCGTACTGTCAAGGACTCTGAGGAGCGAGGGAGACGCCTCAGTTGAGAACTTCAGTGTGGCGATGCCAGTGCCGCGCGGATGGCGGCCGTCTTCCTGCAGTCGCCCTTTTGTACAATTGAGGTGGCACCAGCCTGCCGGACATTCAGACCGCTTCCACGACGGTTCGAAGAGAATCTTATCGAATTCATAGAGAAGAGCCGGGGTGTAGTGCAAGATCATGCATCCATCGTGGCATCTGCCCTCGCCATTGACGCACATACCGATGGAGGGATGCAGAGTAAGCTCCACAAGCTCGTCGCTGTCAGTACACGCTAACGGGTGCAGGATTCCATCCAACCGTATTATTTGACTCACTTTACAGTAACAAGATCACGGCCTGCGAGGTTCGGCTTGGAATGGAGGGCTTGACCCACTGTATCAAGCAAATGTTCACCAATATCGCGTCTAGTATGCAGTCACGGCAAATCGACATGCAATTACAGCATCTCGCACGGCTTCAAGGTAACAGAGAAATTGAGTCCGTCACAACTTTGCGGGCTTGTTCCATCTGTCTCTTCCATACCGCCATATTTACACTAGACTGCTTTCACCGAGTCTGCAACACTTGTGTGAAGCGCTGTGCAGTTGAACGCCAACCACATCTGTATCACCTTCTTTGTTGCCCCCTGTGTCAAAAAGAGAACCAGAGCATCTTCAAAGCGGTTCCTCCAACAGCAGAAAATTGCCAACTGGTACTTGGCGGAACTGATCCCAAACATACCATCTCCGCCCTAAAACGGCTACATCGGGCGATTGGGTTCGGCACGATACCAATATCAGAATATTTTGGCTCAGTGGCGGCACAAGATAGCGGTACACAGCCCCGTTCCCAACGTCATTTAAACTTGCTGAGATCCCACAGGAATATTCTTTGCATTTTCGCTATTTATAGAGGACTGGAGTCTGCCGGATTGCGAATACCATGTGCTGAGGCTGAAGGAGCAAAAGTTCGCCAAGAAAAGCGTCAGTTTCGGGCCTAATCTTACCTGGAATCTATCCGATGTGATACGATACAACAAAGGTAGCGTGCTTGTGAGCACTGGTGGAGTTTGCATCTCCAATTATGACACATGTAAGGACATGGAGTAAGTGAGCCTTCGGTCGTCGATATGCTGGACGATCTGACTTGCTTCAGGCTAGAGTCCACGAACCGGCCAGGCACTATTGTGCGTGCTGAAGACTTGTGCAACCCTCAAAGTATCCAAGCTGCGGCGTCCAAATTGATATCCTCCTTATTTTATATCGAGCTCGCAACTTTGCCTCGATTCTACACCTCTCCGCAAAAATGTACTCTACGGGTATTATGCAGACTGCAACCCGGCGAGGCACTTCGTCAGCTTTTGGGCAAACTCGTACGGGAAAGAGCGCTCTTGATGTATCAAGGCGACGATACCCATGCACACAAGGAAAGATTTTGCACGGAGGATGTTTTGCGCCGCTGCTCCTCAGGCCAGCCCTTTTCACGATCATTTGTGGTTCACGCATTGTCACCAGATACACGGATTGCGGTCGGCCTCATTTACACGGACGGGCGCACTTTAAGCCTCAGTAAGTGCCCTTATAGACTCAAAGATCTAGTTGCCGACCAGGGTCTCGGTTCGTCCGTCCCTGAGAATGCTGCTTCCCCAAGCCCGTCGGTGCCAGCGGAGGAACCAAGGGGGTTGCAGGTCACAAAACGTCTTGATGAGCTGATTCAAACAATAAAACTGCTGATATGATACAATTCGAACATCTATGTTACAGTTCCCAATGTAATCTCAACGTTCCACATTGCCGCCTAATCACAAGTACCGGTCAAGGAGCGATAGCACGGCCTGTTTCTTCCTTACGGATATCGGCGTCGGGTGATGCATCGTTGCAGCATCACACACTTTAGTAGGGGCACTGTCATTCTCTCCAAGCTGATCCGGCGCTCGTTCATCGGTGAGAATATCCCCGGGGGAAATGGTCTCTGTGGCAAACCCAAACGATACGCCTGCCTCAACGGCTTCAACCTCCGTGTCAGGCCACAAGTCAGGCGTCGGCAGGAACATTGATGGAGTGAGAGGAAACTCTAGCAACCCTTCGATGGATTCTATAGTTGATGTGTCGGACACCAGACTAGGTGTATCAGAGTCGAGAAGAGAGTCGAACATCGCTGATGTGTCTTCTTTTGTCGGTATTGGTGACGGGCCCGAATTGGTCGACCCAGAGGATGGTCGCAACGTGTTGAAGAATTGATGCCTTCCACTCTTGAACTGGTCTGGACCCATGAGGGCATCCTCCACTGACAACTGGCATAGTTCTTGCATCAGGCCAGGGCGAGATTGAAACCCGCCTAGGAAGCCATCAGGGCGGCGAGTAACAACGACAACGTCGACATTGTAGGTTTCAGCCAGGGTGTTGCCCTTCTTGCAGAGGCCCCATTGGCAATTGGCTGTACCAGCCTTGACGTCTCGGTTCTTTTTAGATCGTTGCCGAGGCATTGTTCCCAAAACGTTAGAAAGATGTTGCAAATTGTAAGAGTCAACTAATGTGTACAAGTGAATCATGTGTCAAACACTCTTTCTTGAGTGTCGGACGGAACGGCATTTATGGATGCTCACTGTTTGGCGAGCCGAGGACGGGAAGCCTAAGCGCGCGGATAGACCTCCGGCGAACTATTGGTGTCAGAGGCTGCACTTGGCGCCGGGCCGCGATTCTGGTTGTCCAGTCCGGCTGTGGTGGATCCTCCGGCGAGCCATCGGCGTCGGGTTGGTGTACTTGGCGCCGGACGGCAAATGTGGGTCTTCAAGCCGTGCTCCGGCGCATGCGGTGTCCGGCGTTGGCTCCGTGACAAGCCTGACGAACTATTAATAGCCCACGGAACGGCGCTTGCACGGAGGTGGCAATGCCGGAGCCAACGAATTTGGGGCTTACTTAAAGGCCTTAAGTTCAAAATTAGTGCGCGCGGTGTCCCCGTCGAGAATCGGCCATATCTCCCAGTCTCCGCCAGGTCCAGTGAGCCGCGACAGCTGTTCGCTGACTGAATGCAACCACAACAATCATGGACTTCGACGTGAGCTTCTTGTATCTCATTTCCTTCTTCGGAATTACCGGCTTGGCTCTGATCTGCTGGACGGCCAAGCTGCTGATTCGCAACCCAGCAATCTACTACGCCAAGTACATTCGGTACCCTCTTCTGGTCGATCTGACGTGTCTCCAGGCAACCAGACTCCATGCAGCTCTTTTTGCAGTTTTCTTTACCATCAACATGGGTGCAATATTTATTCCATCTTTCTTCCCTGGGTGGAGGCAGATCCAGAAAAGGGCTGCTTTGATGGCTGTTGTGAACATGGCACCGTTATGCATGGGCGGCCGCGCGCCAATAATTGATGCACTGAACATCCCGCGCAACTGGTATCATATGCTACACACCTGGGTTGGCGCTGTAGCTGTGTTGGAAGCCGTGTCACATTCGATCATCGCTTTGAGTCTCCATCCAAAGCCTGGCATCCTACTACAAAGTGGCTGGATAGTAGGTTCACTGTTCCAGCGACTATCCTAATTGACTTTCTCTTGATTAACTGGTTCGAACAGTCCTTCGGCCTCCTGCTTGGCGTACCAGTTATGGCGTCGCCACCAATCAAACGAGCGCTCAGGAAATGGTTTCTGTGGACTCATAGAGCTATCTCGTTGGGCGCGATATCACTGCTACTGCGCCATGTTCTAACTGCAACGTCTCAGCGAGCTAGGATCCTCATCGCGAGCTCCTGCGGCTTCTGGGTGGCCACAACTGCTTTCCGGATTTTGAAACTCGTGTATTATCGCCGCATCGGCGATGTCATCGAGGTTCTAGGTACAGCCGATACCGTGCAGCTAGAGGTCAGGCTGAGGCAACCCGTCCGCCTGCACGCGGGAGCCTATTTTTATGTATTCTTCCCTTTCACCTGGTATCCACTCCGGAGTACCCTCAGATATAACGTCCTGCATAGCGTCACCGCCATCGCCTTCTGGCACGGAGCCTACGATGAATCCCGGCGTGTCACAAGTCTGCGATTTCTGTTGTCTCGGCAAGGCAGCCACGGAGCGGCAATATCGAGGTTGAGAGAGGGACAATCCATACTTCTTGACGGTCCGTATGGGCAAAACTTGAAACTTGAGGACATCCAAAACGTCATTTTGTCTGCTAAAGGCATGGGGATTGTCGGAATTCTCCCTTTGGCTCTGGACCTTGCCTTAAGGCGCAAGCACGACGATGGAATTCGCGGCAGGGTGCAACAGATTAGTGCTCAGGACATGCAACTACACGGACGGCTTCAAGCGACGACTGGTGAGGAGAGAGAATCGTTAAGCCACCGGAGACAAGCGCTAGCTGAAGAGCGCACAAGGCTTTCCAAGGAGTATCTTCATCGGGATTCAGTGAAGAAGGTAATTATTTTCTGGTCTCTCGAGTCGAATTCCCAGATGGAATGGGTGCAAAAGCAGCTGGAGACTCTTCAAAAGCTTGACCCCGGCAATGTAGGTCCAACTTTGCAATCCTCTATGGGCAGCAGCTAAATTGCCCCTAGAAGCTGTTGATCGTGTGGTGCGGCTATCCTCGGGTGAGAGAAGGCTTTTCGCCGTTCGAGCATTCCAGATTCTGGATGTGCTTGGATCCCGGAGCAATTGCCAACTTTGATGACTTGATCGTTACGAAGATCAAAGAGGAGCGTGCTCGTCTACTAGGCAGTATGGGGGTCATCGGTATGTGTTCATCTACGTTTTCAGGTCAAAGCTCACATTTCAGTCTCTGGGAACGCACCCTTTTGCGGAATGATTCGCAATGGAACGATTGACAGTATTGGAAACAGTGCAATTTCGTTCATGGAAACTGAGTATCACCCACGTAGGATGGCAAATCATGATATTTTGGTCAAAGATGCACCGTTGCAATCGGGGCAGCGCGAAGGAAATGTGAAGTTGAAGCGAAGAGGGCAAGCGACGGATACGGAATTACATGACATTGCTCTTGGCGGTCCGAGAGCGTCAACTTCGAGCACTAGTGTTTATTCTGAGCGTGTTTAGGAATAAAATGCAATCTATTCAAACAAGTTAAACCGTGCTACCGTGTCCAAAGCTTTCCGAATGCGCATTTTTTATGTAGAATAGCTTTGTTGCAGCTGTCGGACCATCTGCAGGACCCTCTTATTTTGGGGTTGCATTAAAATTAAGGCCAACGATAGCGCCCGCTATCTTTAACGTTCCAGCAACGGCCTCGTCCACCCTAGCCTCTACACATTAACTTAAGCGTTGGCAAGGACTATATGAGTTGGACCAAAGTTGCTTTGGCACGCCTTGTAATAGTTGCCAACATCAATACCACCATCATCATTACTTCACCAGTGATAACACATCTCCATCATGGATTTTGAATCCCCTCAAGGACTGTCTTTCGGCCTCGCCGGAACTTTCTCCGTGAAACAAGACCGAATCGCCACGCAGTTCAAAAAATTCGGAGTCAAGAGAGAAAAGGATGTCAAGAAATGTGACTTCATCATCGCAAACACGGATGCCTTGAGCAACAAATTTGTCAACGATGCAAGGGCTGCAAACCTCCCAGTCCTCAACGAAAACTGGATTGAATCAGTTTTGGAAGGGCAGGCGTGGATTGTGCCCGATGCAACGCATTTTCATTTTGAACCTGGGTCTTCTTCAGCTGCAGAAGCTAGCGAGGAAAAGCGCAAACAAGATGAGGATGAAGAGAAGCGCAAGCAGGATGAGGAGAAGCGCAAGCAGGATGAGGAGAAGCGCAAGCAGGATGAGGAGAAGCGCAAGCAAGACGAGGAGAATCGGAAGCAAGACGAGAAGCGCAAGCAAGATGAGGAGAAGCGCAAGCAGGATGAGGAGAAGCGCAAGCAAGGTGGTGGAGACCCCCCGCCAGACAAAGACGGCCATCAAACGGAAGACGAAAATGAGAGCCCCGACGAGGAGAGCCCCGACCCAGAGGAGAGCCCCGACCCAGAGGAGAAGAGCCCCGAGCCAGAGGGGGACAAGAGCAAAGGGCAACACGAAGGAAAGCGCAAACCAACAGGGCAAGCACCGCCCATCTTAAAACCTGCCTGGGGTGGCCGTACCGTTGAAGGAGCGCGAGCACACTGGTACAATAGTAGTCGCGCGCAGAACGACCTTGTTGTTGCTGTTCATCCCGCGGACGAACACAAGCCAGAACATCAGCAGCGCAAGAATTACGTTCTGAATATCGACTTCGTTGTTCGACACTTCCTGTTTGTGTCCGATCCGCAGACTGAATTCCCCGCACACCATATCCCAGCAAAGACGAAACGGAACCTGCGCGCGTCCTGGCTGCTTCCACGGAAAGACCAAGGCGCACAGGGCCAAGCTTACATCGACAAGCGAGGCCATGTTTTGTCCGTTACAGGCGACGCCATACTGCGAGGCCACAAAATGGACGATTTTGACTGGTGGGGTACCGCGACCGACGGCAGAGTGTGCTACAACGCAGGCATTTTGCCGGGTGAGACCGAGCCCCAGGTGTGGGCACGAACAACGCAGAAGAAAAGTTGGAAGCATATCGACGCTGAGATTGATGCCATCCGACAGGTATTTGGTCAACCCGCTCTTGCCGAGGAAAGTGTGCGCAGAAGGACTGGGGATGGCAAATCACGGATTCTGGAGAACCTGGTCGAGGGTGAAAGGTGGTTGAAAGAGGAGGACGACGACTAATTATTTACCTAGCTTGCATTCAATGACCTCTATAAGCACGATTGTTTTAAGTATGCCTGACCAAAGAGAAAATCCATCATAAGGTGATTTAGGTACTCATGTCCGTGAACTTGGTCTCCCCCTTGTGAATCCCTGCCACACATTGGCAGTCATGCAATAGGTTTTAGGACAGGTGCATCCTGCAACGCGGGGTCGTATGCCGCCGATTGATAGACCTCTCAATTATGACTCGATCGATGTCTCGATCCGATGCGTTGAGCAAGGCTCTGCACAAGAGCGGCAAGAAGAGAACACCGAAGACCCGACGGCAGCCCTCGGACCATTTTGAGTCAGGGAATAAGGCTTGGTAGCGCTTCGCAAAATCCGATCCTATCAATGAACGATCTCAGCCGAGCGTGTTGACAACTGTATCGCAGCCCCAGTAGAAACCCTGCTCCACTGTTGGGTGCCGTCGCTGAAGGATGAGACTGATTGGTGTCTGGGCGCCGGGCCTGTGGCTGCCCCATACTCCGCCACCCAATCAACAAGCTCTTGCTGGCGCCGCTGTGCCAACACAGGCCAGGCTGAGTCTTCCCCCGCCAGGGGCAGTTCGCCCACCGACAACGGGCTATGTGGCAGCTCAGCCGCCCTGTGACGTTCCATTCTCGCACGGTGATTCTTTCTTAGGTTCTCTCCATCCAACGAAATCCCGACACTCGACGTGCGCTCGGCGGCCGTGGACCAACATGGAAGGGCTCGGTATTGCGGCGAATGTCATCGCGGTCGTAGACCTGTCCGTGAAAGTCACTGCCCTGTGTGTCAACTACTGCAAGGGCGTCAAGAAGGCGAAGGATGATATCGTTCGACTCCAACTGGAAGTTGTCGGGCTCCAAAGTGCCGCGAATAGTGTCCAGGAGCTGCTTGAGGGACCAAGCGGCGGGAGACTGAAAACGTCACAGCAGCTAAGCAACGCCGTCTGTCATTCTCAGTCGGAGCTGCGAGCGGTGTACCAGCGGCTTCGCCCAACGTCAGCGCGTGAGGCATTTACACGGCTTGGGTTTCGCACCCTTAGGTGGCCTTTACACAGCAAGGAAGTCGAACAGATCGTGCAAAACATTGTGCGATACACGCAGGCGATCAATCTTGCACTACAAGTCGATCAGACGTACGATAGATCAGGCCGAGACAACCGCTGTGGTGCTGACATGGTTGTACTTAGGAACATTCTTTTCGATGTCGATCGGAGGGCTGTACTCGATCGACTCGAGATTGAAGTGGCCAACGGTGCTTCGTTCGACTCTCGCGCCGAGGAACATCATCCGACATGCCTGCCAAAAACCCGTGTCGATCTCCTGCAACAAGTGTTAATGTGGGCTCACGACCCTAGTTCCGAGGCTATCTTTTGGCTCAACGGTATGGCCGGCACTGGAAAGTCCACCATAGCTCGGACGGTCGCCCATGACCTAGCACGCAGTCATGATCTGGGCGCTAGCTTTTTCTTCAAGAGAGGCGAGACTGATCGGGACAGCTTGTCGAAGGTTTTCCCTACCATGGCTGCCGACTTGGTGCACAACATACCCATGATTGCTCCGCATGTAAAGGATGCTATTGAGACTGATCCTAGTATTTTGAGGAAGACGGCACGCGAACAGTTTGAGAAGCTTGTCAGGCAACCGCTGTCAATGATTTCTGCTGAGCCTCGGACTCCATCGCCAATCACCATCGTCATCGACGCGTTAGACGAGTGCGAGAGCGAGGATGACATCAAGCTGATGTTCCGTCTCTTGTCTCGCGCCGGAACGGGACAATTGGTGCGACTAAAGATTTTCCTAACAAGTAGACCAGAGTTGCCGATACGTCTCGGCTTCAAGGAAATGCAAGGCAGGTACCAAGACCTGATGCTTCACGAGATATCACAACATGTGATCACACATGACATAACTACCTTTCTAAATGAGGAACTGGCGAAGATTCGACGCGAATACAATTTGACGGTCCGGAAGGAGCGACAACTACCCGACGAATGGCCAGGCGCCTCCGACTCGATAGCCCTTGTCCACATGGCAATCCCACTATTCATTTTCGCCGCCACCGTGTGCCGCTTCATCGGTGATCGGAGACTTGGATCGCCAGATAAACAACTTTCCAAAGTTCTTCTTCGAGCAGGTGGGGACAGCTCACAGCTCGCTACAACATACTTACCTGTGTTGGAAAATATGATCGATAAAACTTCCGATCGGCTAAGGGAGGAGAGTGTTCAGGCGTTTCGAAATATCGTCGGGAGCATTGTGACCCTTGCGAGCCCTCTGTCGGTATCAGCGCTGGCTCAAATTCTCAACATCTCCGAGCGGGACATTGAAGTTAAGCTGGATATGCTGCACGCCGTACTCAGTGTGCCGGAGACGACAGATGCCCCAGTGCGGCTGCTTCATCTATCCTTCCGCGATTTCCTAGTGGATCCTGGCCAACGAGCAGAGAATCCGTTCTGGGTAGACGAGAGAGAGGCCCATCAGGAGATGGCGGCGCACTGCCTGCGTGTGCTTGAATGCCTCCGACAAGACATATGCGATATCAAAGCTCCCGGGACCCCTCGATCGGCTGTCGGTCAACACAAAATTGACAGCTCTATTCCGCTAGAGGTTCAATATGCCTGTGTATACTGGGTTTATCACTTACGTCACGGAGGGGCGCCTGCTCGCCATTGCGACCAGGTCGTATTGTTTCTAGAGCGTCATTTCCTCCATTGGATAGAATCATTGAGCCTCATAGGCAGATCCAGGGAAAGCGTGCATCTCATCGGAGCGTTGCAACTACTCTACAAGGTCCGTCGTTAACATAGGCCACGATTGGACGCAGTCAGCTAATTATTCGTCAGGACGAAGGACCTAAACAGCTATCCGAATTCCTCGATGACGCCATGCGTTTCGTCCAAGCACATAGTCTCGCCATCGACGGCACGCCACTCCAGGTGTATTCGTCGCTACTTGTCTTTTCGCCAGAAAGGAGCAGAGTGCGCACTACGTTCTTGAGCGACATCCCGGGATGGATATCACCGCAGCCGAAGGTATATAGTGATTGGAGTCAATGCCTACAGACACTCGAGGGCCATGGCGGCATTGTCACTTCAGTGGCATTCTCACACGACTCCGGCCTCGTGGCATCGGGTTCCGATGACAAGACGATTCGGGTGTGGCGCACAGCCACGGGCCAGCACATCCAGACGCTTGAGGGCCATGGCCTTCAGGTCATGTCGGTGGCCTTCTCACACGACTCTGCGCTCGTAGTGTCGGGCTCCGCTGACAAGACGATTCGGGTGTGGCGCACGGCCACGGGCGAGCACATCCATACGCTTGAGGGCCATAACGACAGGGTCATATCGGTGGCCGTCTCACACGACTCTGCGCTCGTGGCATCGGGCTCCGCGGACAAGACGATTCGGGTGTGGCGCACGGCCACGGGCGAGTACATCCAGACTCTTAAGGGCCATGGCGGCATTGTTACTTCAGTGGCATTCTCACACGACTCCGGCCTCGTGGCATCGGGTTCCGCTGACAGGACGATTCGGGTGTGGCGCACAGCCATGGACGACTGCATCCAGCTGCTTGAGGGCCATGACAACTGGGTCGGATCAGTGGCGTTCTCCCACGACTCTACGCTCGTGGTATCCGGCTCCCATGACAGGACGATTCGGGTGTGGCGCATAGCCACGGGCGAGTGCATCCAGACGCTTGAAGACCATAACCTCCAAATCACGTCGGTGGCCTTCTCACACGACTCAGCGCTCGTGGCATCCGGCTCCGCGGACAAGACGATTCGGGTGTGGCGCACGACCACGGGCGAGTGCATCCAGATGCTTGAGGGTCATGACCTGTTCGTCACGTCGGTGGCCTTCTCACACGACTCTGCACTCGTAGCATCCGGCTCCGCTGACAAGACGATTCGGGTGTGGACTACAGCCATGAGCAAGTGTGCTCAGACGCTGGTGGGCTATGGCGGTTTCGTCGAGTCAGTGGCCTTCTCACACGACTCTGCGCTCATTGTATCGGGCTCCCATGACAAAACGGTTCGACTTTGGCGCGCGTCCACGGGCGGCTGTGTACAGACGATGGAAGGCCATGACAACTGGGTCATATCGGTGGCATTCTCACACGACTCTGCGCTCATTGTATCGTGCTCCCACGACAAGACGATTCGACTTTGGCGCACGGCCACGGGGAAGTGTGTGCAGACGATGGAGGGCCATGATCACTGGGTCGAATCCGTGGCCTTCTCATGCGACTCTGCGCTCATTGTATCGGGTTCTCACGACAAGACGGTTCGAATTTGGCGCACAGCCACGGGGGAGTGTGTACAGACGATGCCGGGCCATGACAACTGGGTCAGGTCGGTGGCCTTCTCATACGACTCTGCGCTCGTTGCATCGGGCTCCGGAGATAAGACGATTCGGCTCTGGCGCTCAGCCACAGGCGAATGCATCCAGACATTTGAGGGCCACAGTCGTAGTGTCATGTCGGTGGCCCTCTCATACGACCGTACCCTTGTGGCATCGGGCTCCGCTGACAAGACGATTCGAGTATGGCGCATGGATACGGGCGAGTGCGTCCAGGTGTTACCCGTCGGCTTCATACCATCCTGTATATCGTTTCGAGCGGACGATTTATATCTGCTGACCGATCATGGTTCCGTCGCAACAGGGCTGGTTCCAAACTGGTCATCGCCTTCGGCCGGCGTTGCACCCCAAGGCGACTCCCTTCTAAGTATCAGCGCGGATAACTGCTGGGTTGCGTGGAGTGGGCTTCCCCTCCTCTGGCTACCGAAAGATTATCGACCATTTGCTTCTGCGGTGTCCGGACCATTCGCCGCGTTAGGATGCGCATCTGGTGGCGTCATCATCATTGGCTTTTCTTCCGAGGCCCTCCCAGAGGTTGTTTCGGTCAGCCAATAAAGTTGGGCGAGCTTTAGTCGGCGGGAAGAGGAGCAGATTCATTGGGGGACGACCCGGTGGCAGAAGCTGCCCGGAAACGGTCACCACTTTCTTTTCCAATGCACCAACTGGGCGGCATTTCGCATGGAGATGATGCGATGCATGGACACACGACGAGGGAATATTTCCATTTACCTAGGAGGCAAGCAACGATCGGACGACGACAACGCGGCAGCAAACATTGAAGCAGCGTGGACCATTCGTTTTGCTTTAGCAACAGGATGATTGAAGACTCATGGGTTCCTGACAGGCCAGTTATTCATTACTGACCTCTCGCACATCACTCGTGCATTCAACAATACAAATTCAACTGCCGAGGACTCTGAACGCTCGGAGGATAGCCTCCAAGCTTACTTGTTAATAAGATCACACACGGGAACAGAGCGTCATGACGAACGGGAAAGACAGATAGCTGGAGGTGGAGAAGGTACGGACTATTTCGAGACTTGATCAAACGTCGGAAGCGAACGTTTACACTAAGAAGATAGTTGCTCTATTAGAGAGCCGGCCATCGGGCGTAATCAGCTAGTGAGTGAGTGTATCGTGATCAAGGAATGGTACAGTGTCGAGATAGAGCGCCCTCCATTCTCCTGGTGCCTGGGCCATAAGCGCCAGCATGAAATTGACTTATGCGAAGGATGCAAGCATGGGCACTGCATAATGATGTCTCTGTAATGCGTTTCTGTGCATAATAAACAAGAGATGTCAAGTACCATGACCAAGATACTAGCAAGGGCGAATGTCCCCGGCTTCCTAGGAAGCCGCTACCTGCTCACTCGTTTGCTGCAGGTGATCATGAGAACCTTCGAATCAGCGCATAATAGTTCAGGCAGGTTCCGCTATCACATCGCGACTGGTGCCAGGCCAAGTATAGACTCGTCAAAGGAGAGGGACATGTAGCTGAATCCATCTGATACGGAACCAACTGGCGACCTAGCCTGCGGTCCGCTGCCGTCGCCACAGATTGTTCTGCCCTGCACCGTCCAGCCCCGTACAAGTCGCTCCTGCCTAGCTGCTTCGTTTTAAGGCAGATTCCGGCTTCCCTCTGCCATGATATGGATATTCCAGGGTGCAATCGGCACGGTTGGTGTTGTGGGTGTGTCGGGTGGAAGCTTGTCATGTCAGCATTGTCTTGCGACCTTTGCATTGCTTCCGTACCTCTTTTTTGAGCGCCAAAACCATCAGCTGAATTTGCATCATAAGGCGATGCGTCTTGCCATCAAGGTCCGCCAAATCGCAGATAAGGCAGTTGACCGTGTCTCTCTTGACTTGAAGGGCATCCTGGATATCCTCAAGGACTCCTATGGAATTCTCCAGGACAGAGATCTTGTCGTCAAGAGGCACGAGGCAAAATTCACCCATGATTACGGTTGTCAAGTCTGGGCCGCTGTGTGATAATCGGATCGGAGACCACCAGCAAGTACAGGTTGCAAACCTAATGAGCGGTGGCTGGCCGCATGGTGACGGAGTAGAGCATCCCTCTTTGAGCGTCTCGTTGAACCTATATCTTCACACTACATAGCGCGCCTCAACCAGTCTAAATAATGGCCTGTTCGTAACACAAGAACTGGACTTACAATAGTTCGTATCATGTCAGCAAGTTGCCTCTATCGAGCGAAGTGTCGTTGCTGAATTCAGCACATCGACCGCGGCGGTGTAACATCGGGATTGGGCGGTCTAGCTAGGTGCTATTTCGCCGAGCCATATGCTTAAGTTGAGCCGTGCGAGGAGTACTCTGAGCTATTTCGGATAGTCGGTGCCATGGAGAGGATGTTGTACTGTGACACCAGAGGTTAGTGTGAGTAGAAGCAGTGGATTATCGAGTCGCAAGCTCGGCTGCTCATCAGCCAAAAAGCCAGCCACAAGCCGGCTCAATCTGAGAAACTACTTTGCCTTGCCCTGATGTCAACCAACTACAACCGTGGAGTTGACTATCGTACGGGTGTGGCCTCCACTCTCCCCTGGGGGGCCTCTGTCACCTTGAGGGCCTCTCTCGCCTCGGGCACCTTGATCTCCTTCAGGGCCCCTCTCGCCGCGCTCGCCTCTATCGCCTCTGTCCCCTTTCTCACCCTGAGCTCCTCGGTCTCCTTGCCCGCCCTTCTCACCGCATTCGCCTCTATCGCCCTTTTCCCCTTGAAGACCCCGGTCTCCTTGTGTGCCTTTCTTGCCGCGATCGCCCTTGTCACCCTTGTCGCCCTTGTCGCCCGTGTCGCCCCTGTCTCCTTTCGTGCCACGGTCTCCCCGCGGTCCTCGTTCTCCCATATCGCCTTTATCCCCCTGGGACCCTTGAGGTCCAGGTATTCCTTGGCGACCGACGTCACCGCGGCGGCCCCTCCGGCCCCGCCGCCCGTATGCCCGTCCTCTGCAGTATATCGCGAAAGCAATGCTCAAAAGTATCGAGAGCCCTACTATCACGCCAAGCACGATTACGACTACGTCGGAACTGCCACCGTTGCCATGTCCCGCCGCAGCAAGCGCAGACGAATGCGTCGGCAGCACAGTCTGAGTTGATTCCTGCTGAGCAGGTGGAGCTTGTTTCGTGCCAAGGGAGATGGTAACGGTCCTAGTGCTCATTGACTTCCGGAGCGTAAGGGTGACGACATAATTAACCATGTTTCACGCCTTGAAATTGGGCGTTTCGTGGAAACAGAGTGGATGACAACGTTCGAGTGGTCAGATGGATCATCTGCGCCCTGGGGGGGATGGGGTCGCAGTTTTGCTTACGAGCGATCGGAAGACTTGTTGGAGGTAAGGCGGAAGTGTTCATGGCGCCCTCCGTGTTGCTAAGGGGTGCTATGGTTTATTGGAGGTTCAATTGCGCCAACATCACTGCGAGAGTCAGCCGGCACGCTGCTACCACTATCACCGCCTGGTATGCTACGTGGTGCTGACAGGTCCTCTTGGGTAGCCCCAAGCATGCATGTCGCCCAAATAAGCTCTGCATTGCTCATTCAGCGTAACCAACAGCAGCGCCGCGAGCCAATGGAGCTCCGCCACGCCACCGTGGAGCCGATAGTCACAGATCCGCCACGCGGGCCGGTGGGCGCGCGGCCCGCCCCGCCCGCCCAGATTCGTCGTTCATGCGAACTCCCCGAAGGCAACAGGCCAGCAAACGGTTTGGCACTCTCCGAGGGGGGGTTCAAAGTACAAGACATTAACGACCATGCAGTGTACTTTTGGGCAATCAGAAGCTTAAGAGGCTGCAAGCAGATTCCAATTTGATGTACGATATTGTTCGCCAGAGGTGCTTCATAGCGAAACCGGAGTCAAATGTCGCAGTTTCGCTTTACTAATGCAGCACGGCATGATATCTCGATAGGCCCATGCAGTTCCAGGAATACAAACTGTCCGGAGCCTTCATACAAAGATGAACCGACCACATCATACTACTCCTACCAGCCTACACACATGCATCGTCTGCTAGGCATCTCGCATCCTGGGTAGGGCACTAAGTACACCAAATGACAGCGCAGCCTGCATCACAGTAATTACAGGCTGCCTTGCGAGCATGTGCCGGCAAAGTCGATGCGCAGACGACCGGCGGAGTAGAGTGTCGGCGTTATTACTGCGTCTGATTGCCCAGCCTATCCGAAAATATTGCAGTGTAACTACGATGGTTTGCAGCCTTTAGTCCCTTTAGTCTTGTGCAGTACCGCACATGAAGTGAATCTTTGGGCCGTCACGGGTATGTCTCTGTATACCGTCGATGGATCACAGTCCATAGAAGCTGAAGCTCCTCCACCTAACGAATAATTTGCCTTATGTAAATTTACTTGCATGCCGCTATTCCATCTCTGCGAAGTAGAGTGATTGATACCCTGTGGGTTGTCATCAGGATAAGTCGACCCAGGCGCCGAGCTACGAACCCTGGCATCCGATAGATGGGTTATCATCCTGCCGAACACTTAGACAAACGAGGCTAGGGACTAATTATGGACACAAGTCTCTGCGAACTGCCTATGTAAATGGTTTATCCCCATTCAAGTCCCCGGTGGGAGTTTCCACTGACAAAGTCGTGTTCGACCGGAGGGTGCGGTGTCCGCCCAAGGCACAACGGCGACCTGATTTGCGTCCATTGCACACGTCGCCTCGTGTCTCTATCTGCGTGGTGAGATCGCTTTTGACATTTATCAAGACGAGCTATGTCAGTAGTGACATCTCGTCCCCACTCCCATCATTCGGCGACCCTGAGAAGAGCCGGAAGATGGCAGCAACAGCTGCCTCCGTAATGATAACCTGAGCCCTTTTCCGGTCTAGCACGATCCTCATTATCTCGGCCCCGCTGTCCTCGTTCCCGACCGCGGCCTTGACGATGTCATGACTTGGAGGGATGGCGCTTCGAATGGAAGCCGGCTGAGTACCGGGGAGGTCGGTACCGTCGATTGCAGAACGCAAATCAGGAACTATTCACAATCAGAGAGGATGTAAATGTACTGCGATTGAAGAGCGAAGTTTTCGATGGGTTACACGGCAAAATGTTCGGGTTGGTTTGCCAGGACGTCCACGATCCGAACGGTTGCACTGCATGAGCCCTGTGCATTAGAAGGCCGCAGAAGAGAGTAGAGTTGCGCGTCGGCCTGGCAGCCATGCACTACCTCACGTAGATTATTGTTGCCTGCAATCATTGATTATCAAGGCAAAGTGATCAAACCATAGAGGCACAGCTCTTGGCCGCTTTACAAGAGTTGAGCGACAGCGTGCGAGTCGTTGAGGCACTTCCTCCCATGTCGAGCGCGTTGATAGCATGTTCATGACGGTGGTCCATTCCTTTGG